TACTGGCTATTTCTTTCACCGCACACTCCCTTTTGTCCCTATTTCTAAAATCTGCAGAACTCACATCGTATAAACATTTGTATTCAGGCCAAAGTTCGACAAGTTTGTCGGGCTAGCTGTTTGTCCCCTAAAATTGCCTCGGCCAGCAATTCATTTTGCGCCGCCATCTTGGATGTTTACTTTCGTATACTACGCATGCGCTGTTACGACAATCCGTAAGCCGATAGCTTTCGTTCGCCGCACACGGAAAGATTTTGGCACGCGAGGCAGAAATTATCAAACATGTTAGATATTTGGCGTAAGTGGCACGAATGACAAAAGTCGTTCGTAAATCGCCCGCACACGAGAGCTATCTCCTTACGCCAACAGTCACGAATGACATTTTGCTAAGCACATAGCTCTAGTGTGCGCCGGCCTTTATGAAAGTGGTCTACTAAAGGCACTGTTCATAACAGGGCGAAGGGAGAGAGGGCGTAGAAACGGCCATACATCGAGCGGACCATCCGTGATGCGAGCTTCGCGGGGGGTAAGACGTTCTAATTGTAAACAAATATGGCTACGCGTATATGACCCATCAGAAGGTATGCTGAAACTATTGCTTTATAAAATATTACTTGTGTAAAATTTATGTTTTTGTTACTTTCAGCTACTATAAGAAACTTAAAGATAAGATTTAAGTAACAAAAAACTTTATTTCGGGTGTTATTTTATTTATATGCTCTGTTTAATTTGGTGGTTAAAAATGGCCGTCGAAATGTTGTCCGAGAGTGTTAACGCGCACTGCTTCCTGATAAAAAACCAATGATTTCCAAAACCTAAATTATAATTTGTTATTAAGTTTTGATGAAAACCTTTGCGTATACAAAATTATAGAGTGAGCAAACATGAGACAGATAGGTTTTGAACCTTTCAAAGTTCGAGGTCGAATTGACAGTTGAAATAGTACCAAACTCCAAGCTGAAATGTGCAACTAAATCCTGTATATTTTTGTCAATATTGTTCGCTGGCTTTGTTAAATTTACTTGCAATGGCTCGACATAAGTTACAACATACAAACTGAGCAGAGCCCATGAAAGAGCTATCCATAGTCCATACCCATACAGTCATTCAGCTTCCTTGCTATTTAGAAATTGTTGCCCATTAGTTGAAGAAGAATTGCTATTGTATGCGCTTGTTTGCACTTCCTTTCCTAAAAAAAGTCTACAATATTAAGGCTAAATAGCAGAAAAATATGACCCAATAATCCATGCAATTAAAAATATCTATCAAATTAACTTCAAAAATCATGATTTGAGGAATTATATCTATTCAGGCAGCAACCCATAATTTAGTGACAGGTCTTGGCAAGGTGAAAGCTGAAAGGAACCCTTAAGATGGGTGTACTACAAAAATATGTTGACTGAAGTTTTGGAAACATTTAACTAAATTTTGAAGGATTGACTTGCAAACTGTGATTCAGTATCATGGAATTTTACACTTCTGGAGAAGTTGTGGCTCTGTTAGTGCCATTTCTTTCATTGTTTATAATCCTGCTTTTAAGCATTGCTCGCTTATAAAATCTTTCAATTCCTTAGGGCCTGTTTATATGATCCCGCCTAGATGGGACGGATGTTTTCATCCCGCCAAGACAGGATACTCGCCTAGTGTTTATATATGGACAAAATACATTGCCCCGGAGAGGCGAATATCCTAGGAATATCGCCCCCCTTTTGAGAGGGGGGGGGGGCGAATCTACTGGGGGGGGCGAATCTCCTGTGACACCGGGATGAAACCATTCGGTGCTTGACGTCATATATTTGTTGCAATAAAGGCATTTACGCATGTCATAAAGGGAAAAATTCATTCCGTCTAACCGGGATGAAGTGTTTATATGGGAATTTTTCATCCTGGCTAGGCGGGATGAAGTGTTTTTATATGGGAATTTTTCATCTCGCTTAGGCAGGATCCCGGCATCTGTTGCCGAAATCCAGTCTAGGCGGGATAAGTGGCGGGATCATATAAACACTCTTTAGCATTTGTATTACGAGCGGGATCTCGGTAAGCATCCCGTCCCGCCTGGCCAAGATCATATAAACAGGCCCCTAATCTCATCCCATGATACTGAATCACAGTTTGTAAGGCCCCATTTACATGAGACCAGGATGAAACCAACCTGGAATGAAAATTGAAATTGCATGTCAACATGTTTACATGAGACCAGTATGAAAATCACAAAATTTTCAATTTATTCCCCTTGCCAGGCAATTTTCTTTTTTAGATGACTTTTGTTAGCATGTGTTGTTCACTTAATTGTTCCAATGTCAACATTCATTCCAGTCTGAATTCATACTGGACTACTGGTCTGAGTCAGTCGGCTTGGTCCAGCAGGCGGAATGACTTGAGACCTCATGTAAACATCTATTATATATAATATAATGACCAAAACGAAATGGTCCCGGTTAATTGACTTTGTTCCAGTCTCATGTGAACTGGACCTAATAAAATCCTTCAAAAGTTGGCTAAATTTTTCCAAAACTTCAGTCAATATAGTTTTGTAGTACAACAATTTCTAAATAGCAAGGAAGCTGAATGATTGTATGGGTATGGACTATGGATAGCTCTTTCATGGGCTCTGCTCAGTTTGTATGTTGTAACTTATGTCGAGCCATTGCAAGTGAATTTAACAAAGCCAGCGAACAAAATTGACAAAAATATACACGATTTAGTTGCACATTTCAGCTTGGAGTTTGGTACTATTTCAACTGTCAATTTGACCTCGAACTTTGAAAGGTTCAAAACCTATCTGTCTCATGTTTGCTCACTCTATAATTTTGTATATGCAAAGGTTTTCATCATAACTTAATAACAAATTATAATTTAGGTTTTGGAAATCATTGGTTTTTTATCAGGAAGCAGTGCGCGCTAACACTCTCGGACAACATTTCGACGGCCATTTTTAACCACCAAATTAAACAGAGTATATAAATAAAATAACACCCGAAATAAAGTTTTTTTTCACGTAAATCTTATCTTTAAGTTTCTTATAGTAGCTGAAAGTAACAAAAACATATAAATTTTACACAAGTAATATTTTATAAAGCAATAGTTTCAGCATACCTTCTGATGGGTCATATACGCGTAGCCATATTTGTTTACAATTAGAACGTCTTACCCCCCGCGAAGCTCGCATCACGGATGGGTCCGCTCGATGTATGGCCGTTTCTACGCCCTCTCTCCCTTCGCCCTGGTTCATAATCAGCAATTTGATTTGCTTCGATTAATACATTTTTGTGAGCAAGGCACTAGCCAGCTGGATGTATAAGTGTATAAGTGTTATTTGGAACAAATTACTGCATAGAACATTTTGACCTTGCAAGTAAATTTGTTTTCTCTTATTTATTTTCCTATTTATTATCTTATTTATTTTCAGGTGTATTCAAAATTCCTGTTAACATTCATTCATAGATGGGGTCATTGAGAAATCGCGCATCCGTGGACCCGGTCCATGGAGGGGGTCCATGGACCCGGTCCATAGAGGGGTCCATGGACCCGGTCCAGACAAGGGGTCCATGGACTGGGGGTCCATGTTTTGTACTTTCCCCTTCACGATCAAATGTCAGTTTTATGTCACGAAAACTTCTAAAAATAGCAAACGTAAACAAACTGTCAAAAGACATTTTAAACCGTATTTAATACCAAAACTGAACAAAAATGAGTTAGATAACTTAGATATACAAACTAAAGCACAATACAAACCATCACAACAGAAATATATATGTCGTGAATAACTTTTAAAGTTTGAAAACTAACAATTTATCCTGGAATTTAGCTGTCAGTTAAAATACGCGCGGTAGACTATAACGGTGATGTTTATATGATTTTGTTTGTGCTTAAATTTTGCAATAATTCGCACTAAAATATCTTGAAAATCATTGTAAGCCTATTTATATAAAGCATAATAAGCATATACATCGACAAGGAACGGGAAAACTCAAAGTTTAAACTTCGTGACCGAATGACATAAAACTGACATGTCAACTCTAGCATTTTCGACCCGGGTCGCGTAATTTTGAAAACGGGTGTAATACACTCTCTTCGCCACGAACACAAAATAAACAAATTAACTCTACAGTTTAAGGCTAATTATGAATAATACTAAATGGTATCTGCTATAAGAGCTATACTGACCCAGGGGCGAAACTAGCCCCTTTTAATTCGGGGGGTGTCTGCCAATTCCTGTTAAAACATGGCTTAAACCCTTATTTTTGGACCCGAATATAAATTCTATAAATTCCCTCTGAAAGCCCTGTAAATTACTTAACTCTACATTCTATCATTTAAAATCTTTGATTGCCCTGCCAATCCACATGATTCGTATTGGGGGGGGGGGGTTATCGCCCCTAGCTATATCTATGCAGTCGGCATACAACTATATTTACATGAAACGGCCACATTTGATATTATACGCACGAGTTTCCTCGACAATAGTGGCACAAAGTCCCACACGATAGAGCGTGCTCCTAAGATTGAACGCTGTTCATCAGTTTATTCAAAACAATAAATAAATAATAGTAATTTCTACCAACCTTAGGTCCAGGATATGATTATTCCTTGACCGACCTATTATCCGCAATTCCCGCCAAAACTCTCACGACTGAGTGCAAATTCCCGCCAAAATCTTTACGACTGAGTCACTTCGATGTTTGTCAGGAAATGAGTCCGCCTTTTACAAATTGCAACCCGCGATTTGTAAAACACGGACTCAGTCCGCGTTTTACAAATCTTAGTTCGCGATTTGTAAAACACGGACTCAGTCCGTGTTTTCCCGGTCCAGTCCAGTCCAGTCCGTGTTTTACAAATTCAGTCCGCGATTTGTAAAACACGGACTCAGTCCGCGTTTTCCCGGTCCAGTCCAGTCCAGTCCGGTCCAGTCCAGTCCAGTCCGTCTTTTACAACATGCCCATGAACATGTCCGCAGAGTGTGCATTTTGCTTTTTAATTAAACTTAAAAATTCAAGGTACTTTTATATAATTAAGAGTCAGTTTCTCTATTTAACCGAACAGCAAACAAAGATTCAATTAGTCAGTTCTGTGTACAGCACGACTGCCAAGCTTTCTCAAGGTCTCAACTTGCTGGACGCGGATATACCAGGGATATACTCTAACAGGCTAACAACAGCAACAATAAAATTCTCAATCGTACCACGAAGAAGGCGATCGATGTAGCTCAGAAAACAACGCCGGTAGGACCTGATATTAAAAATAAGACTTTTGCCGACGAAGCCAGTTGGCAGAACATCTTGGCTGTCAACAACAAACTTTCGAATAGATGACTAGTTTGGCTGTTCTTTCAGCGTCGTGTGTCCAAAATTCGTCAAAGATTTTGATAAAGACCTTTCAAAATACTATTTGTTTGATTTATTTTCTGCCATAAAGCATAAAAGAAAAGAAATTCGAAGAAATCGATAATGGATTTGTTACGTGCGTTTGACCTTCATATTATTATTGTGCCCTTGAGCCCTTGAGCCCTTGACCGAGCTATTTTTAAAACTGTTGTTTATGTGAACTTGCAACCAATCAAAATCTTAGGGCCTGAACTTCAGGTCAAAATCTACAGGAACGATGATTTATATTTGAAGTATTCAAGCGCCAACAGCGGTATATATTTATTATATAGTTTTCTTTGTTTTTCTTCATTTTAAATACTACTACTGTATTTCTGGACCGCTCGGCCCCTCCAGGTAATGAAAATTTATACTAATACGTGCAAAAAATTACCAGAACCCGCCCGCCTCACAAAATGAACCAATTTCATTGCTCGACATATACAAGTGATCTATGGTCACAACCGCTAATTACAGACGTCTGGTATTTCTATAATTAATTGGAACGAAACATTATTTCTTTTTTAAAGAAATATTTTCTTGTTTAAAACTTTTTTAGGAGTCTAACTTTTTAAACTTTTTTTGCTTTTTAGAACACTTTTGAGGCTTCAAATTAAGTCAATATTCATAGTTCAAGGCTGCTAAAAATGTTTTACATGCATGTAAAAATTATTTGTACAATTGCTTTAAATTTCGCTTAAAAATAACAACAGATTTTTCGGTCTTTAGTTCTTTCGGAAGTTTGTTAAACAACATTGTTACTCATTCAGCCGTTCCGCACGTTGTAACCAATAATTTATTGGCGTTGTAATGCCATTGTATGCAATAAAGTATAATCCTAACCCCTAACCCTAACCCCACCTTCTAACCCCTAACCCCTAACCCCACCTGCCAGCCCCCGCAACCTAACCGCAAACCCTAACCCCGGCCAGCTACCCCTCCGGGGAATTGTGCTGCCGCCTCCCCTCCATCCACCAAGCAAAGCCAATTACACTTATAACTAAAACTTTTGTGCAGTGGTTGCGATTTTGTTTTCAGTTACAACCCAATACTTTATTGCATACAATGGCATTACAACGCCAATAAACTATTGGTTACAACGTGCGGAACGGGTGCAGCACTCATTATGGAGTTTATCTATTTGTCGAGTGTCGAGTGTCGAGGGTTAAATGTCGAGGGCAAGGGTAAAAAGTCGAGGGCGAGGGTAAAAAGTCAAGGGGAGGGTAAAAAGTCGAGGGTAAAAAGTCGAGGGTTGAAAGTCGAGGGTAAAAAAAGTCACAAAAAATACAAATTCAATATTAAGTCTATTAAGGTCAGGTAACTGCTTCGGATAAGGCCATGTAGCGACGTCTACGTGTCTTCTGAGCAGTATTGTTATATAATATGCGTTTCACGCACACACTTTATTGGCAGATCAGGTTATTGACATATCCGACATGCCGCAACCATTTGGCGGATATCCCGCATTTGGCGGATATCACGCCTCGTATATCCTAACTAAGTCCTTACTTGCATCTTGCAGTCTGCTCTCTTGGCTTAAAATTTATTTGATCGATATTTCGCTTTCAATTTCGCTGAAAATGTCTTCAGACAAATTATATTCCGATGCTGTATGGTCTGGAAGTTCTGATGAGGGTTAGCCTCTCCTCTCCTTTTCCTTCCAAAATCTCAAACCTTAAACTTTGAGACTAATCAAAATTCAAACAAAAGCCCTAAAAAGAAATTACTTATCACTCTTTGCGCGCTTAGTGTTTAAGGTTTGAGATTTTCGAAGGACAACCTTTTTTGAACAAGACGCTCTGTGGAGCGTTAACTCGCTGGGGCTGTACAAATACGCACATTACTTTATATGATGCCAGATACAGTACACAGATATTTCTATAGACCTTCCCTCTTTTAAGTGAAATTTTGATCTAGACTAGCGTGGGCAGAAATTTCATCACAGCTTGACAGGGCCGCCGAGAGGGGGGGGGGGGAATTGGCCCGGGCCACGAGGTTCAGGGGGTCCCTAGAAATTTTGTTGTTGGGCACCAGTCATTTTTTTGCGCGAAATATTTCCGTTTTTGGGTCACAATATCTGTTTTTTTCGGGCAAAGAACCGAAATTTGGTTTGAATAATTTGCAGTAATTTCCCACAAAAGCATTTACAACGTACTCGTCCGGAAATTTTTTTTGAATAAGGTCCCCTAAAAAAAATTTGCCCCGGGCCCCCGCCAAGCTCTCGGCGGCCCTGCAGCAGCTTCGCAAGGCTATATTATCCGCATTTTACAACTTTTTGCAACGAAACTGCGGAATATTACTAATACTGCAATGCTCTTCCAAGCTGTGTTGAAATTTTTGTCCAGGCTAATCTAGATCAAAATTTCACTGAAAAGGGGAAAGGTCTATTAAGATCTAAGCCTGACCCCGAGCTAAGCGGAAAATACGAGTGCGAAAGCTTAACACACTAAAATGCGGTACCCTGCTACAAGTACAAATAAAACTTCCGGCGTTTATGGCCCACAAGTATTAAAAGTTGTATTTTGTAGTACGCTACATTCTTTTGTTGGCCGCTAGTTTAAAACGTCCAAACTAAAATATTTTTGGGCTTTTGGGCTCGAAATATTATCAAAATGAAGAGAGAAGTGAGACGATATCCACTGGTATACGGCCGAAAAAGAGAAAACCAACGATACCAAAGTTATCAAGGATCAAACATATTGCATTTTATATAATTTTAGGTTTGAGCGATTTGTCAACAAATAATACAATTTCGCTTGGCTTTCAAAGACAAACGCCATAAATCGCTAGAATACTGTTGTCAGTTGTTTAGTAATACATTTGAAACCCGTAGGTACAATTTCTCATTCATATATGAGTACAATTTCTTACGTTGAGTACAATTTCTTATAAGTACAATTTCTTTATATAATTTTATCCGCCATTACTTATTTATACTATTAGGCATTACAAATACAAGGTCAAATACAAGGTCGGACAAACAGCGAGTAATTTGTCAACAATAAAAATGTCGCTTGATTTTCGAAGTCCATAAATCGTTTGAACACTTTTGTTTAGTGATACATTTGGCATCCGTAAGTGCAATTTCTTATGCTGAATCGAACGGTGGTATTTTTATCCTTATTAGTTGGCTATTGCGCCATTACTGTAATACTAATAGGCATTTATACAAATACAATATCATATTTCACACTGAGTACACTGCAGTTTTCACGGACTGTTGTTCGATAAATTTCATATTGATATGACATCAATATGCTTCTCATGAAGTAGTTATTTATTAAAACTACGTTGTGCAGTTTAAGTTATAACCTTTTACCTTGAAATTGTCTTTGGCTCGTTTATATTCAGATTCAGTATATTATGATGGTGCACGGGAATTCCACGATCCAAATTTCGGATTTTCAGAGCCGTGCACCAAGAAAAACGCATTAAATAAACTAGCAGGAATGTCCACAGTTACACACAATCCAAAATCCATAGAAAACAGGTACAATTGGTTCAAAAAAATTGTTGAAAACATTTTGCCCACTCCACGAAAGTCCCCGCCATTTTGAAGGATCAAGCAGCTCATTAATATTCTATTTTGTGGCTATCAACGACGATCTGACATTGGAAATCTGACATCCACCAAAAATGCATGCCGAAACCTATACTCGCCCGGGCACAGGTGCCCCAGCGAGTAATTAGCTGCCTATATAATTAGTCATTGTCGATGCTGTTTCTGTTCATGTTAGTTAGTTAAATAAATAAATAACAATCATAAAATTGACCAAGTTTCAATTTTATAATTCGTGTTTTACGAATTTGCTTGTGGACACATTACAATGGTACAAAATCGAGACCGGCAATGATGACAACAAGTAACTTGACTTCTCAATTTTAAGCTATTGTTTCGTGTGCACTCAAGAAAATTTGGAAAGCGTTAAATTCGGAGGCCCGCGATTATTTTAAACGCGGGATTGTTTATAAAGAGTTCTGTCTATCTTAGGGCCTGTTTACATGGAGGTAGGGTGACCCTATCAGGAGGGTTACCCTAGCAAGCGGGTCAGAAAATAGCGAGCGTTTACATGAGGTAGGGTGACCCTACTGCTAGGGCTATGTTGCCGGATAGGGTAACCCTACCTATGCGTGGTCGCTAAGCGGTCTGTATTAGATAAATGGCGCCGAAACGCAAAGTTTTAGCGGCAAGTTGTGTAATGCTATTTATTGGGCCTTTGCTTGCTGCATTTCAGTGTTGTGGTCTGTTATTTCCGAGGTTATTTCAATATCGTGGTCTGTTATTTCAATGTTGTGGTCTATTACTCGCATTGCGTAAATAAGCGTAATGTATTCCTTGATAAAGTCCAACACAACAGTTTTTCGACATGTTCGGCTGACCAAGAGCATTTTGTTTTTTTGACGTCGATGAGGATGCGCCGGAATTTTGCTTCCTTTTCGACGTCTTTGACAATTTGTTATCGAAACTACATCATTCGCAGCGTTCTCGTCCAAAGTCAAAGCTTCGTTCTATGCCTCTGCTTCCTTATTTGTAAATTGCTTATCCTTTTTATTTTCTGGTGTCGTTTAAAATGCTCGCCAGGCTGATATGTTCATATCAGGGTTCATATGTATAATCTAGCGACGCCATATCCTTGTTTGTCTGTCACAGTCAGTGCTCTCACAATCAAATTTTTGAATTCCTTAGAAAAAGCTCGAAAATTCCTCAGATTTCCTTAAAATTCCTTAAATTGGTAAAATTACTACAAGGCCTGATCACAGAGTTGCAAAAGGTGTTTTTTTCACCTGATTTACCTGAATTTTTCGAACTGAACGTTCTTTAAAACCGTATTTTTTGAAAATTTGAAGTTTCTAGACCGTCGGAAATGGCATTTTTAGAGTCTTTCCTACCCAATATTTTAGTATTGCCTAACAATGAAGATAAGTATTGCTACTTTCAGTTTATAATGGGAAATCGAGAAAATTTTGGAAATTTGGAGTCTCCAGATCGTCAGAAAGGGTATTTCGCAATTGTCTCCCTGCCACAACACGTCTCAACGTCTTTAGTTTGTTTGATTGTTAACTCCAATTCAGATTAGAGAGTTCACTTTTTTATGCCCTGAGAATTACCTGAATTTACCTGAAAATCTACAGGATATCTACCTGAAATTGTTCATGAGCAATATTAGGGGTGTTGCACCCTCCCTCTCCCCTCCTCCGCTCGCTAAGGCCCTGAAAACTTAGAAAATCTGTAGATTTCAGATGAAACAGCATACACTGACATTTAACTTTTGAGAATTTTAATGGAAAGACAGCCATATGTACATTTACGACATAGAGAACATACGAATATATGTAATTATGTGCATATAATGTTGCTACTTTCAAGTTTAAATCTCATTTGCGTGGCGTGGTTATTCTCCGTCAAAACGTTTTTAGTCCAGGATAAAATGTTTTGGAAATTCCTTAAAAAAATCCTCAAAAACCTAAATTCCTTAAAAAAATCTTAAAACTCTTCAAAATTCCTATTTTTAAGGATAATTCCTTAAAAGTGAGAGCACTGGTCACAGTAGGACGTATAAAACATGACCCGCTTGCTAGGGTAACCCTACCTGACGCGTTTACATGGCTTATGTAAACAAAAAGATAGCCCTGGCTAGGGTCACCCTATCTGTTTGATAGGGTAACCCTACCCCTAGGGTAACCCTAGCGCGCATGTAAACGCTTCCTATAAAACATATTGAAGTAGGGTAACCCGCTTGCTAGGGTAACCCTTCTGCTAGGGTCACCCTATCTCCATGTAAACAGGCCCTTAAAAGTTAACGGTATAGGTAGGCTACTCGGAGTTTTACGGAGTTGTATTTCACACCTCGTCTGCTTTGCGGGAATAATAATTTAGCCGATTAAGCGCATACAGCATACTACAAATGGCAAAGAACCTTGTTTTTAGGCTATATCAAGTTGCGATATTAATTGCCCCTACATGCATTATCGGTTTATTTATTGCCGGTTAAAGCAGGGTGCTTTGTTTTAAAGAGCCCTGCTTAGTATGTAATATATACTGTAGTTTGTGTAGAAAATAAACAATATATAACTGATTGTATTGCTTTCTGCACGGTTGCATGCAAATGCATCAGGACGCAAAGTCACGCTGTGGCCTAGAACATTTAAAACGCAGAATACGCCACTTGTCGTATATAGTATATGTGCGTGGAACGCAATGTGCGTGGAACGCATATTATAGTTTTGATTATATTTGGTTTAGAAGTGCTCATATAACAACACTGCCGAGAAGACACGTAGACGTCGTTATGGCCTTATTCAAAGCGGTTACTTGACCTTAATATTGTATTTTTTTGTGATTTTTTCACCCTCGACTTTTCACCGTCGACTTTTAACCCTCGACTTTTTACCCTCACCCTCGACTTTTTACGCTCACCCTCGACTTTTTACCCTCGCCCTCGACATTTAACCCTCGACACTCGACACTGGACCAATAGATAAACTCATTATGCACATCTATCAGGATCTGCTCGTCAGTGACATCGGCAATTTGTTTACATTCTGTTGTCACTCCTTTGGGGCACACGATACGCTTTCCTCGGTCCTGGATTGCCTGAAGTTTGTCTATCTGGTAGTTTGAAAGTCCCAGGTGAACAGTTGGGCAATATGTTACTATTAGGCTGAATTTATATTGTATATAAACAAAATATAAAACAATTTCACGCGGCTCTTAAAATACAGTCGGGCGGTGATGAGAATCAAGGAATTTATTTTATGTGGCCTTGAGTGCATGGTTTTATTTATTTGACTTTCTGAAATTCCGTCGAGTAAAATTCAGAAGCAATGATCAGCATATTATACAGGGTGTATCAAAAAAAGCGCAATCCTAGGCCTCGACTGAAATGTAAATTGCTAAACAAATAATAGACGAAAACGTTAAAGTTTACATTCATTTTAAAGCGTAGCCATTCAGCTTTCTAACAGTGGGTTGTTTCTTAAATTTGACTCATTGGTTCGCGGGTAATAATACTTTACGTTATTGCGATTGGAGATTAAAAAAATTGAGATGGAATAACAAATCGTTCTCATGAAAATAACTGATTTTTTCATTAAAACAAAAAAATGTTGCATTTTATTAAATGGATTGTAACAATAAGTATAATTACCGCTTTTCTTCCACTATTTTTAACTCAGTTTGAAACTTCAAATGCGATATAATTTTGGCTTGGACCATCTAAGCTGACTGACATCAACTTGCTATAATTTCTGTTTACATTACATCGCAATTCGACGACATTCTGGCTCAGACACCAGAATGTTTTGACGATTTTTAGCATTCGTTTAGATTTTCAAACAACCTGGTCTCTTTTAAAATACTTTTAATTTGTTCTTACGTGGTTTTCCAGATGTAGTGACGACAACATTAAAGTTTAAAGAAGAAAATTCTAACATTTAAACCGACTAAACAATATAACATAGTAAACTTGCATAATTAAACAGCAACTAAAA